AAAAAAAAAACTGTGAGCGCAGGTGTGGATGTAGGATGTAGTAGAGGTTCGTTCGAGTGCGAGTACATGCCCCTGGACCTTTGACAGGAGTGACCCTATTGTCCATCTTTCTTTATGAAGGGTCAAAAAAAAAAAGAAGAAGAAAAAAAAAAAAAAGGAAAGCACTTTGGTTGAAACTTGAAACTTGAAACAAAGACTGACCATGAGTGACGGAAATACAAGATTCATCAGTTGTCGCCGTTTTTGCTGCAGAGGTTCCTGGACCTTTGACAGGAGTGACCCTATTGTCAAAACACTACAAAGAAACAAAATAGCATACGGAAATCATTTTTCAAATTTCAATATCGTGTGTTTTTTGCTTAATAAGCGTTTTTCAGAGGGTATTTTTCATCAATTTCGACTGGCTTTGTTTCGCATCCAAAGGGTATTTTATTGAAGTTCATCCCCCGAATAGACCAGGGTCCGAGTCCCAGTTGCCCAGATCCTTCATTTCCGGCCATTGATGGGCATGATCTATGGTCAGAAATGCAGAATTTCGGCAAGTGGGACTTGGCGCTAGGAGGGAGATCCCATTACCATGTATTTGGATTAGTGGGACGAGTGTGGGACGGGTGGGTGGCAGAGTAGAATAGGAAAAATAAAATCGAAAAAACATATCTTGATTCTTGACAAAAAACAATGAAGAGAGAAATGCGAAAAAAGAGAAGGAAGTGCTGTTCCCACAGATCCAGTCTCATCCAGGCAGCGCGTCAGATGTCAGGTGCGTATGATTCACTGGCCAGGGATGTGGCAGCAGTTAAGATGACTGCATGTGAGTGTCCAAGCGGACCATATATATTCATTTACAGTAGTCTGAGCCTTCCTTGAAATGGGCCACAGAGCACTCTGGTCCTTCACTCTGACAGATGTCAGAGTAACTCTATCTGGCAAGTCATCGGTGATCCTGCGAAGTGGTGTACCAGCAGTTAAACAACGATTTTTTCCTTTCATCTTTGAGAGAGAGAGAAAGAGAAGTCCCCGTCAGTCTCGGGTATGATCATAGTTTGGCCTGGGTCTGACCATAAACCTAGCATTCAGGTAGTCGGTTACAGCCGCAGTTTGGTGCTCCGCCACCCGCCCAGTGAAAACCTCCCTGTTCATTCCCAACCAGTCCCTGGAGAATCGCTTGATAGCCAGTGTTATATCCTTTTCGGTGTGAAATATGTCCAAGTTAGATCTCACTTGCTTGCCATTGTATGGTAAGTTCTTCCTGAATATACTGCTTGATTAGATCAGACATTTCCACGCCCGCCAGTCTTACTTTTTCAATGGTTAATATACACCTTTTCCTCCAGAGGGCCCAGATAATTGCTCTCCTCCCCACCTTAAACATGTTCTCTTCAAATGTGGCAGAATTTTTTTTTCTCCTGGCAGAACATTCTCTTCTTAGAAGTTTGGTACTGTTTACCTATTCAGCAGCTCTTACGCTAGAACCTGGGGGTAGTCATGGACCCCACTGGGATCACGGTTGTGGAGAGTGGGTGACCCCAGCTCATGGTGGAAAGGGGGGTGGGAACGCGTGGGATGGGGCGGCGCAGGGGTGGGAAGGGACATGGCAAGAGGGGGTACGCATGTGTCGTGCTCGGGGGCAACGACACTGAGGGCGGATGGACCAGGGATGGGTGGGAGCCCCCCCTCATGGGATGGGCCTACGAGTTGTCAGCCATCCCGCCATCCACCCCCAGCGCCATCATCGTTAGAAACAGCAAAGGACTAACCACCACGCTTAGGGGACACCGCTGTAGCTCATAAACTGAGGACCGCGCTACATGAGGGGACGCAACCAGGACAACTTGTCGGGGGAGGACGGTAGATTTTGCAGGTTTGGCAAACAGGCCACGTCCGCAACGCATATATGCCAAAAAAAGTTGAGACAAAAAAAGAGAAAAATCCTCACAGCCGTCGACCCAACGACATTGTAAGAAACAAATACAGGCCTGCAGCCGCCGTGCCTTATGCAATGTCTACCGCCAGATACATCAAAGAAGACGTGCCACCCCTGAGGGCATACTCGCACCACCTCTTTTCAAAGTGCATCCGACTGCAATTACGGCCCCACCTGGAGGCGTCTGGCGGCAATCACGTCCATAAATAACTAAAAACGCCCTTGTGTAAGTATGCCCTGACACCGTCAACGCCCCCTCACCTTCCTGCAGCCAAACGTCTACACAGCCGTATCTGACAGTCGTCGTCCCCACGACACCTTCTTTTTTTTTTTTTTTTTTTTTTTTTTTTTTTTTTTTAAAGAAAAGAAAAACTCCATCTATTGGTGGGGAGCGTCACCTGCTGGAAACCGGGCCCGGGGACGGTTGAGTTGACTGAGTTGAAGTGATAGGTGATACGCGCCCGTATCAGTCGTCCCGTATGCACGTCCACAGCCAGATAC